TCATCATTACTGCACAGTATTAATGAACATGCAACAATTTATCCATTCTATTATGGTGGACATTTAGCTTATTTCCAGTCTTTTACAAGTACAAATAGTGCTGCTATGAACATCGTTTTATGTGACTTGGGTCACATTTCTGTTGAGGGTGAAATTTCTGGGTTATTGAGAAGCTTCAGTTAAGTTTTGATAAACACTGACAGTTTTCTAAAGTGGTTCTACCAATTTACACCCTCCCCAGCAGTGTATGAGACTTACAGTTGTTCCACACTCTTGCTAAAATTTGACGTTACAATTTTTTTTATTCTTATAATTATGCTTATAATTTGTGGGTTTTGTTTGCATTTCTCCAATGACAGCTGACACTTGACACCTTGTCACATGTTTATTGGTCATTTGAATTACCTCTTTTGTGAAGTCCTTCTTCACAAAAAAATCTTTTCCCCATTTTTCTATTGAGTTACTATCTTATTGAATTATAGGAGTTCTTTATATATTCTGTATGTAAGTCCTCTGTCAAATATACATATTACATATTTTCTCCCTGTCTGTAGCTCTCTCTTTAGGGGGCAGGATGGATTTTTTTTAAAACATTTTTTCCCTTAGAAAGTTTTAGCTATACACAAAAGTAAAGAGATGAATATAATAGAATCCCATGTACCCACTTTCAATCATCATCAACTTACAGCCAATCATTTTTCAGCTATATGCCTACTAAAAATCATACTTTCTACTGCCTTAACCTGTCCTTTTATTTCCATTATTAATGCTTTAGCCCTTTATTACCTCCTTCAGTGTTCATTTGTTTATCCTTCATGTATTTATTGAAGTTGAACTGATAATAAAACCCAGTGAATGCATTTCTGTAGTTATATTACCTGAGTTCTGTGCAGACAGTGACTCTGTTGGTCACTCCCTTTTTGAAATTCCTTTTGCTTAGCCTTCTCTGGTCCTCCTCTACCTGGTTTTTCTTGCACTTCTTTGATCCTTTGTAATTTCCTTCCTGGGATCTCCTTATTCCCTACCTCCTCAGAGTTATTCTCCCAGGGCTCTGTTCCAGTTCTCAATTCATTTGGGTGATTGCATCAATACTCATGTCCTTGACTCCCACTTATATACTGATGGTTTCTGAGTTTATGTCTCTAGTCCAGAACACTATTCAATACCAGATCTCCATACAGAGCTATCTTATGAGCAGTTCACTTGGGGAACCCACAAGCATCCATGGCACATTTGTTGACTGTTGACCTCTTCACACCCTGTCACCAATCTATTCTCCCATTCTCCATTATACTAGAATTCTAGCTGAACAGATATCCAGCTATCAGTATTTCTCAGCTCCCATTGTAGTTAGGTGTGACCGACATGGGTAATTCCTATCAATGCAATGTAAGCAAAAGCGATGCATGCCACTTCTGGATCTTGACTTAAAATATTGGGTATGTGTAGTATAACTAACTTTCTCCCCTATATCAGTTTGCCAGATATGGTGATGGCTTGAAAGTCAGGTGTGACCAGTGCACAGAGCTACCTCACCAGCCTGGGTCCCTGCATGACCTCACAGAGCAGAGCTCCCTGACTATGGAGATTACTAGACCATTCCACAAACAAGTACACTTAATATTTAGATCATTGCATTTTCAGGTGTCTCTGTTATAGCAAACTAGCCTTTAACTGTTACAGTGTCTCAGTCATATCATGTCATATCAATTACAGCATCTCAGTCATATCATATCAAAAATTTACTAAGCTTCCTTACACCTAAATATTCTGTGTCTTCATTTCCAGTATGAGTAAAGGCTCTTGCAATTACATATTATTTTCCTCTCTCTATCCCTTCATTGAGTTTTCCTAAGTGCAATACATATTATTTCTCAATAATGACACAGGACCTCTAGCCATGATGGAGGAATTGGTAATTGACTGGTCTTGGTGTAACTGTAAAACCAGACCAAACTATATGAGCAGTTGCTTTCAGGCAGTGGACAATAGGCAGCACAAGATTGAAGATCCGTAAGAGAAGGGCAACTAGAGGTAAGCTCCACAATTACCTAGCTCACTGCACAGAACAATTTCCTGATCGTAATACAGAGAGCCTGATCTCAGCAGAACACAGTTGTCACACCAAGATTCAACCATGATGCTGCATGTTTCTGTAGTTCATTTTTTGTATTGCTGATTAGTATGCTATTGTATAAATATACCACAATTTACATATTTATTTGCTGATGGATATCTGTTCCCAGTTTTTGCTATTATGAATAAATCTGCTTTGAATATTGCTATACAGTCATTTGATGGACATAAACATGTATGTTGAGTATATAACAAGAGATGGAGTTGCTCTAACATAAAGTTTTTATATCTTTAGCTTTAGCTGATACTGCTAAAGAATTTTCCAAACTAGTTGTACCAATGTACACTCTAGTCAGCAGTATATATGAATTCTCATTTTTGGACTTCCCTAGCAATCCATGGTTAAGACACCACACTTCCACTGCGGGGGCATGAGTTTGATCCCTGGTTAGCGGACTAAGATCCCGCATGCTGTGCTGTGCAGCCAAAAATTAGAAAAATTCTTGATTGCTGCATATTGTTTTCCCGCACTTGATACTGTCAGTGTTTTTAATATTAATCATTCTTTTTTCCCACTTTAGTTGAGATATAAGTGATGTACAACACTATGTAAGTTTAAGGTGTACAGCATAATGATTTGACATTTATACATCATTAAAGGATTAACACATTTAGTGAACATCCCTCACTGTATAGACACAAAATTAAAGAAATAAAGAAAAATGTCTTCTGTGATAAGAATTCTTAACATGTACTCTCAACTTTCATATATAACATGTAGCAGTGTCAGTTATATTTATCATGTTGTATATTACATCCCTACTATAATTTTTGACTGGAAGTTGGTACCTTTTGAGTACCTGCATACAGTTCTTCCTTCCTCCATATCCTGCCTCTGATAACCACAAATATGATTTCTTTTTCTATGAGTTTCTTTGCTTATTTTTGAAGTATAATTGATCTACAACACTATGATAATTCAGGGTGTACAACATGGTGATTCGATTTTTTTTTGCCTATTTTAAAAAGTTGAAGTATAGTTGATACACAATATCATACAAGTTACAGGTGTACAATACAGTGCTTCACAATTTTATACTACATTAATATTACTATAAAACATTAGCTATATTCCTTGTGTTGTGCAATATACCTTTGTACCTTATTATATAGAACAGTTTGTATTTCTTAATCCCTGCTCTTTTAATGCCCCTTTCCCCTCCCTCTCCTCCCTAATAACCACTAGTTTGTTCTCTATATCTTTGAGTCTGGCTTCTTTTTTGTTATATTCACTAATTTGTTTGTGTTTTCTATTCCACATATAAGTGAGATCATACAATATTTGTCTTTCTCTGTCTGGCTTATTTCACTTAGCATAATACCTTTTAAGTCCATCCATGTTTTTACAAATGGCAAAATTTTATTCTTTTTATGGTTGAGTGGTAGCCCATGTGTAATCTGCTGTTTAATTCATTCACTGAGGTTTATTCAGTGACTAAGGTTTTTATTTCTGTTGTTATATTTTCTTATGTCTAGAAATTCTTTGGTTCTTTTTCATTTTTATGGTCTCTTGTTTCTTTAAGTCCCTCTTTCATTTCTTTGAACATTTTTAGTATTTTTATTTTGTATTTGAGAATTATAATATCTGATGTGCTTTGGACTATAATTATGATTTCTTTTAAATTTATTCTTGGCCTTACATATTTGCATTTGGAAAATTTTGTTTATCTTAATATGTATGAGACACAGGTTCGATCCCTGGGTCAGGAAGATCCCTTGGAGTAGGAAATGGCAACCCACTCCAGTATTCTTGCCTGGAAAATTACAGGGACAGAGGAGCATGGTGGGCAACAGTCCATGGGATCACAAAGAGCTGGACATGACTGAGTGACTAAGCATACAATCTGTAGGGATACTGCAGTGCCTGAATTTGGGGTATGTTCCTTCAAAATGAGCTCAGAATGTTCTGACAGGTACTGATGATGCTGTCCACTAAAGAACAGTTTAAATTAATATATAGGCTTGGGATTTCCAACACTGTGAGAATATAGTATGGCTTTAAATCCATATAAAGGCATATTTATAATGATGCTTTCTTAAGTAAGTCTTCTACTTTTATTTTTCCTTCAGAATTGTGGCCTAAAACATTTCCTTCTTGGCTGCCTTTCCAAGCAAATAGACTTTTTTCCTAGCCTATTCTTTCACTGAGGATGAGGTCATCATGGCTTCTAGCTTCGGAGAGGGGGGGGGTCCTCAATTTTGCTTCACCATTTTATCCTGCCAAAGGCCTTGCCTTCTGTTCCTCTAACCAATCATTAAAATCAAGCATACTATTTGATTCCATTTACATAAAGTTCAAGAAGAGCTGAAACTAAATCTATAGAGACAGAAATCAGACTAATGGTTCTCTTTTGGGGATGTTGACTAGAAACAGGGATGATGGAGCCTTCTAAGATTTGGAAAAGTTTTAAATATTGATCTATATAGTGATTCTGTAGGTCTACACATATGTACAAATACACCAGGACATACACTTATTTCAACATTTTACTGTCTCTGTCATATTCCTTTTGTAGTACACAAACAGGGTTCTTGGTTTCTCTTATTGGCAGATATTACTGATTTCCCTTACTTTTCTGAGAGACCAACCATGCACATAAAATAGTGCAGCTGTATGTTATTAAAACTACGTGGTTTGCAGTGAGTTTTTCAGAATTTCCAGTCCCCAAAACGTTGAATGTGTGAGCTACATGCTCACACTTCTCAATTCTGATACTGTTTCTTGGAGACTTTAGTAAAGTATTGCTTAAAAATTCAGTTTGACTTTTCTTATGGTTTAAAATAGAGCTTATCCAGTTATATTTTTGATCTGCTTTGTTTTTAGTTTGATTTTTAGTTTTTTAATGGAATATAGTTGATTTACAATGCTGTTTCCTGCTATAAAAGTGAGTCAGTTATACATGTACATATCAGTTCAGTCATTCAGTCGTGTCCAACTCTTTGCGACCCCATGGACTGCAGTACGCCAGGCTTCCCTGTTCATCACCAACTCCTGGGACTTGCTCAAATTCATGTCTGTAGAGTCAGTGATGCCATCCAACCATCTCATCCTCTGTCATCCCCTTCTCATCCTGTCCTCAATCTTTCCCAGCATCAGGGTCTTTTCCAATGAGTCAGTTCTTTGCATCAGGTGGCCAAAGTATACATATATCCACTCTTTTTAAGATTCTTTTCCCATACAGGTTATTACAGAGTATAAGTACAGTTTCCTGTCATTCGATTTTTTTTTTTAAGTTCAGTCTTTGTCCCTGCTATGCTGTGGAGAAATAAGAAAAGGCATGTAGTCTCCCATGAGAGGAGCTTTGGTGGTATAAATGGTGCTCTAGAGGGCAATACAGGGTGGCTGCAGTGATTACTGTGATTTCCCAGGGATGGTACTTGCTTCAAGCCAGAGCCAGTCATCAGATATGTACTTACCCCTCCCAAGTGGGAACTACCCCTACTTCGGGGCACGACAGAGGATAGAAGTTTATTGTTGTTGTTTAAAGAATTCAGCTAACCGGTTTGCCTCCACCCTCTATCACCTTCTTTCTTCTTTAAAGTGTAGGACCTATGTGTATATATGAGGATTGTTGGAGGTTGACTTGTGCCCCTTCAAAAGATATGTTGATGTTCTAAACCCCCAGTACCTCAGAATGTGACCTTATTTAGAAATAGGGTTATTGCAGATATAGTTAAGATGAGGTCATGCTGGATTAGGGTGAACCCTTCATACAGTAGGACTGGTGTGCTTACAGAGAGGAGAAAATCCCTGTGGACTGGATTGTGTCCTCCCCAAATCCATTATACATTGGAGCCCTAACCCCCTGTGTGATGGTATTTGGAGATGGGTCCTTTGGGAGATGATTAGGTTTAGATGAGGCCTTGAGGTGGGGACCTCATGACAGATTAGTACTCTTATAAGAGAAGGCTATAGTTATTAGTACTCTTATAAGAGAAGGCTATGTCTCTACCATGTGAGGTCCTAATGAGAAGGCCAAGCCAGGAAGAGAGCTCTCCCCAGGCTGGCACTTATCCTGAGACTTTCAGCCTCCAGAACTACTAGAAAATAGTAGTGGCTCTGTTGTTTGAGCCACCCAGTCTTTGGTATTTTGTTTTGGCACCCCAAACTTACTAATACAAACACTACACAGCAATGGAGGCAGAGATTGGAGTGATGCAGTGGCAAGCCAAGGAAAGCCAGTGATTGATGGCCATCACCAGAAGCTGGAAAAGGGCAAGGAATGATCCTCCCCAGAGTCTCAGATGGAGCATGGCGCTATTGAATGGCCCTACTAACACCTTGCTTTTGGATTTCTGGCTCCAGAACTGTGAAAGAATAAATTTCTGTTGTTTTAAACCACCTGATTTGTCATACTTTGTTAAAGTAGCCTTGTAGAATCTAATGAAAGTTGCTCAGTTGTGTCCAACTCTATGTGACCTCATGGACTGTAGCCCGCCAGGCTCTTCTGTCCATGGGATTCTCCAGGCAGATACTAGAATGGGTTGCTATTTCCTACTTCAGGGGATCTTCTGAACCTAGGGATCGAACCCAGGTCTCCTGTATTGCAGGCAGATTCTTTACTGTCTGAGCTTGAGGGAAGCCCTAAAATAGAAGTCTTAATACTAGAGTCATTGTAAGGTTGGTGGAGGAAAGTTGGAAATGGGCACAAGATGATTCAAGGTTTCTCTTTGCCTTATCTTAAATCATAAACTATGATCAGGAGTCCCTCACACTGGAGTTTAGTCAGAAATTAAGAAATCCACTCCAAAATTATTATATAATGTATGGGAGGGAATTCAATTTCCCAAAGGTCAGTTTATAGCTAAAATTTTCAGAGTCCATCTGTTGTATAAAACAAGGTATATCTTGTTTTTATGAGGTCAATGTTCCTCCTAGGAATTGGATTGTGACTTTCTTGCCCAAAGCATTTCATTAAACTGTCTACCTGGTGTATGAGGAACAGTTGTAAGCCAGAAAGCTCTCTAAGGTAGGAAATCTTACTGAAATAAGGACAAACTGGGGGAAGGAGGAAAAACAGTACTTTCTATTTGTCATTTCAAATTTAGGGAAATTTTAAAGCACTGGGCATTGAGACATATTTCAGAACAAGGATGTACATCTGTTCATAATATTTTTCAGGGATCAGGAGGAGAGTGCATATAAAACCTTAAAAATGTGTGTGAATAAATGTCTGTGTGAACATATGGAAGGGAGTGCAATCCAGTTAAACACTTGCGGTGCTTGGCAGGAGCAAAGAGCCAGAATGCCTGCTCACTTAGTTCTTCCCACCCCCTCAGATGTGAGTCTCAGCAGGTGGGAGGATCCGGTGCAAGCTTCCTGAGGCCCGTGTAGGAATGATAAATTACAGCCACAGCCACAGCGTTGTTTGAAGTGTTAGTCATTCAGTCATGTCCGACTCTTTGCGACTCCACGGTCTGTCCATAGAATTCTCTGGCAAGAATACTTGAGGGGGTTAACCATTCCCTTCTCCAGGAAATCTTCCCGACCTAGGGATCGAACCCAGGTTTTCTGCATTGCAGGCAGATTCAGTTACTGTGAGTTGATTCCAGACCAGCTTGATGAAGCGAATAATGCAAGAAAGCTTGTCACGTGAATTTTTTGGTTTCCCAGTGCATATAAAAGTTATGTTTACACTACACTGTAGTCCATTAAGTGTGCAATGGCATTATGTCTAAAAAATGTACATATAAAAAATACTTTATTGCTAAAAAAGGCTAACCATCATCTGAGGCTTCAGTAAGTTGTATTACTTTTGCAATAGTAATTGCAAAAAGGTCAAAGGTCACTGATCACAGATCACCATAACAAATATAGTAATAGCGAAGAAGTTTGAAATGTTGCTAGAATTACCAAAATGTGACACAGAAACATAACATGAGCACATGTCATTGGAAAAATGGTGCCAAGAGACTTGGTGATGCAAGGTTGCCACAAACTAGCTTGTTAAAAAAAAAAAAAAGCAGTATCTGTGAGGCACAATAAAGGAAAGTAGGCTCAGAAAAGAGTCACTCTTCACCATGTGCTTCCTATAGGCAGAATTTTACACATTTGTGGTAATTCACTTGATTTTATTTATCACCATTGTTTAGTACTTGTCCTTCTCATCAGATTGTATGAGGTTCTTTTCATTCATTGTTGTTTTCTTAGAACCTATAGAGTGCTTAATATACAGTAGGTATTTGATAAATATCATTGACTAACTCGAAGTCCAGTGTCCCCCTGCCTGAAAAATTGCTGCTTTATAGTTCATGCTCCAAAAAAAAACAGAAGAGGGATATGGTGAAGGAGACTTTAAAACATTTCCACAGATCTCTTATCTACAGAGAGCTACATCATACTAAAAAAAAAAAAAAAAGGAAGGGAGACAATTAAAAGGAAAATGGGCAAAGGACACAAAGAGGCAATTTACAAAAAAGATTCAAATAGCCAAGAAATATGCAAAAAGATGCTCATCTAGAGTAGTAATCAAAGAAATGAAAATTTAAAACAATATACCCTTGAATTGGCAAACATGTATTTGATTAATAATATTCATAATATTCATTGTCAGCAAGCATTTAGGGAAAAGAGCTCTCGTACACTGTTGGTAGTTCAAACTGTGCAACCTATACAGAGTATATAGTTAGTACTTTAAAACTTGTACTTTAAACTGTGTCTATTTTTAAAGGGGAAAATTGGAAACCACATTGTGTTATATGATAGGGAAATGGTTAAATAAATAATGGTACATTCCTGCTTTGGAATCCTTTAGCTCTAGATATTAACATCAATGAAAATCTATGCAAAATTTTTTAAAAAGAAGATTGTAAAACAATATGTAGAATATGATCCCAAATAAGTAAAACTATATTAAAAATATATTCTCCAAAGTAAAAGCCACAAAGAATTCACACAAATTATTTAAATAACTATAAATAATTTGAGAACTTTTTCCCTGAGAAAATGAATGTGGAAATTTTACTTTTTACAATGAACATGTACTGCTATTTTTTAGAACATTATTGAAGTATGCTGATGTAAAGTGTACAAATTAAAATGTCTATTTTTATTGAAGTATAGTTGATTCACAGTGTGTGAGTTTCAGGTGTACAGAAAGTGATTCAGTTATATCTTTTTCAGATTCGTTTCCATTTTTGGTTATTACAATATATTGAATATAGTCCCGTGTGCTATACAGTACGTCCTTGTTGTTTTATATATAGCAGTGTGTATCTCTTGCCCCTCCTCCTTTCCATTTTGGGAAACATGAGTTTGTTTTCTGTCTGTGAGTCTGTTTATTTTATAAACAAGTTCATTTGATTGTTTTTAGATTCAGCACATAAGTGATATTGTATGATATTTGGCCTCCTCTGTCTGACTTATTTCACTTAGTATAATAATCTCTAGGTCCATCCATGTTGCTACAAATGGCATTATTTCATTCTTTTTTATGGCTCAGTAATACTCCATTGTATTATCCATATCTACAACATCTTCTTTATCCATTCATCTGTTAATGGACATTTAGGCTGCTTCCATGTTGAAGTGTCCAATTTTTGACACAGCATATATCTGTGATACCACTGCCACAAGCAAGATAATGTCCACCACCTCCCCAAATATTCTTTATGTCCCTTTGCAATCTCTCCTTCTTGCCTCTTTCAAAAACAACCCGTCCCCTAGCAACCACTGATCTACTATCACTAGAGTTTGCATCTTCTAGAATGTTGTAGAAATGAAATCATACAGAATGTACTTTATTTCCTGGCTTCTTTCACTCAGCATAACTATTTTGAGATTCATCCATGTTGATGCAGGTATCAAGTTTGTTCTGTTTTTATTATCTACCACAACTGATTTATCCATTTACTTGTTGATGGACCTTTGTATTATTTCCATTTCTCAGCAAATACAAATAAGGATGCCAGTACAAGTCTTTGTAATCACATGTGCTTTTCCTACTCTTGGATAAATAACTAGCAGTGGAATGGCATGAGGTAGATACATGTTTATCAGTTAAAGAACCTGCCAAAATATTTTCAGAATGGTTGTACCATTTTACAGTCCCACCAGAGATGGGAGTATGGGGTTGAGGTCGTAAGTTACGTGGATTCTTCACCATCATGAGACAAGGTAATGAGAACAACCAGCAGCTCACCAGTGTAGATTCAGAGATTGCCCAGCTAAAATACCACTACTTCTTTCTAGTCACAGAGTCCTTTGAGAATTTGATTAAGGTTATGGTCTATGTGGGCTTCCCAGGTAGTGCTAGTGTTAAAGAATCTGCGTGCCAACGCAGGAGACATGAGAGACCCAAATTTGATCCCTTAGTCAGGAAGATCCCCTGGAGGAGGGCATGACAACCAACTCCAGTATTCTTGCCTGGAGAATCCCACGGACAGAGGAGCCTGGCAAGCTATGGTCCAAAGGGTCGCAAAGGGTCATTACTGAAGTGACTTAGCACCCCCATGGTCTATGCAGACTGCAGGACCACCCAGGGGAGGGCTGGAGTTCCTTAAAAAATTGAAAAGTTACAACTGTTGGGACTTGGAAGGAGAGGGGAGAAAGAATGATGCCCCGGTTTTAGTGACTAGGCCATGGTGGAGACAACAGAGGGGAGGAACAGCTCTGGCGGGAGGAAGCGGTCATTTCTGGCTCACTGCATGTGAGGTGCTTACGATCTTAGGAAAGTGGTTATAAAAGTATCTTGTCTGGGCGGAGATACAGACTTCCGGACAGTAAGGAGATCAAACCAGTCAATCCTAAAGGAAATCAACCCTGAATATTCACCGGAGGACTGAAGGTGAAGCTCCAATCCTTTCGCCACCTGATGTAAAGATCCGACTCTTTGGAAAAGACCCTGATGCTGGGAAAGACTGCGGGCAGGAGAAACGGATGACAGTGGATTAGATGGTTGGACGGCATCACCCCACTCAATAGACATGAGTTTGAGCAAAGACCGGGAGATGGTGAAAGACAGGGAAGCCTGGCGTGCTGCAGTCTCTGGGGTCGCAAATAGTCAGACACGACTGAACGACTGAAAAACAAGAGACTTCCGGGGCAACAACATACAGATTTAGGTGAGCAGGCGCAGCTGTAATCACCGGGTGCAGTCAGTAAGTTCGCATCCTTCGGAGGAATCGCCTCCACGCCTCAGAAAAACACACCTAGCTCCTCACCTGGGTCCAGAAGTCCCCTCCCCGAAAATGCGCGATTGCGTCAACCTGACAAAACCTCCGTCCCGAGTCTGCGCAAGAGCTCGGCGCATGCGCACCAGGCTCCCCGCGGCCGCTCCCTGCTCCTGGCGCCCAGACTCCTCGCCTCTCAGCGGCCCCGCCCAGGCGGCTGCCCGTGACCTGCCACGGCGCGGGGAACGGAGAGCCGGTAGGGGCGAGACGAGTTCAGTTCGCCATGGGGCTGTTTGGAAAAACCCAGGAGAAGCCGCCCAAAGAGCTGGTAAGGGCAGCGGCGGCGGCACCGGAGTGGGTGCGTTTGTATGGGGGTGCGGTGGAGTTGGTAAACGACTGGACGCTCTTCCCCCGCCGTTGGCCAGGTGCCGCTCGGCCCCCATTTCCGGGGCCTCCCACTCGATCGAGGGGCCGGAGGAAGTCTTTAAGGAGGCGGCTGTGGGGAAAGAGAACCCCGGAGTCCCATTTCCACAAGGGGGCCGAGGGCCGGGTGAAGGGGTTCCGCGGTCTCGGCTAGGGGCGCGGAGGCAGCAGCGCCGGCGGGGCCTCTGGAAACTGCCCCGGCGCGCGTTGGTACGTCCCGCGTGGAACCTTTCGCTGGCGCAGGCCCCGCCCCCTCCCGGCTGCCAGCGGAAGGCTGGCGGACCGGCAGGGTCCCCGCATCTTCTTCTGGAGCCCATCCTGAAGTCGGGAAGGTTCAGGCACCTGTCGTCCCTTCCCCACAGCCGCGCCTTATTGAGAGGGAGACTCAGGGTCTCTTTCCTCTGGCCTTCGGCATTGACAACCAGACGCACAATGATAGCAGGGACCCCTGCTAGTAACTACATCTGGTGTAGAATTCTGAATCTCCCTGTCAACTTCCATCATCTCCCGATTCAGTGGAGCGGTTAAGAGTGCTCTGCCGAGTCCGGAGCCTAAGTTCGTATCCTGGTTCCGCACATAATCAGCTTTGTGATCTAGGGAAAGTTCATTTCTGTGTGCCTTAGTCTTGTGTGTTGAGTAGGAATTACAGTAGTATCACTTAAGAGTAGAAGACGGAAGGACGTTAAGTTTTATTAGCTAGTAATGCTGCCGCTGCTGAGTCGCTTCAGTCGTGTCCGACTCTGTGCGACCCCATAGACGGCAGCCCACCAGGCTCCTCTGTCCCTGGGATTTTCCAGGCAAGAATACTGGAGTGGGTTGCCATTTCCTTCTCCAATGCATGCATGCATGCTAAGTCGCTTCAGTCGTGTCCGACTCTGTGCGACCCCATGGGCAGCAGCCCACCAGGCTCCTCTGTCCACGGCATTCTCTAGGCAAGAACAGTGGAGTGGATTGCCATTTCCTTCTCCTAGCTAGTAGTGCTTGTTTTGGTAAATATGTTTGTTTTTGGCCGCCCCGTGCAGCTTGCGGGATCTCAGTTCCCTGACCAGGGATCAAACCAAGTCCGTGGCAGTGAAATCCGGAACCCTAATCACTGGACCACCAGGAACTCCCAGAGTAGATTCTTTGTATATTCTACATTAAGGGTCCCCAACCTCTGGAATTTAATGCTTGATCTGATGTAATAATAATAATAGAAATTAAATGCACAATACTTGTATTGCACTTCAGTTGTTCTGAAACCATCCCCGTCCTCCTTCAGTGGAAAATTTATTTCCCACAAAAACAGTCCCTGGTACCAGAAAGACTGGAGACTTTTTCTACCTTACTTTCAAAGTGCAGACCAACAGCATCACCTGGCACCTTGTTAGAAATCTCAAGCCTCACCTGTTGAACCATAATTTGAATTCTGACAAGATCACTTGTGATAAGTGTGCATATTAAAATTTGAGAAGCATTACAGCACCCAGTACATACTTATACATAAGGAGAAAAAAACCCCAAAATCTTTCATTTAATAGGTGATCTCACCTGTTCAGCCATGTGTGTGTGTGTGTGAAAGTCGCTCAGTCATGTCTGACTCTTTGTAACCCCATGGACTGTAGCCAGCCAGACTCCTTTGTCCATGGGATTTTCCAGGCAACAATACTGGAGTGGGTTGTCTTTCCCTTCTCCAGGAGGTCTTCCCTTCCCAGGGATCGAACGTCTCCTGGTCTCCTGCGTTGCAGGCAGATTCTTTACAGTTTGTGCCACCAGGGAATCCTGTTCAGCCCTAGCAGGCATATTTTAAACCATTGTCATGCATCAGGAGGTTGCTGGCACATACTGTGTGTGTTGTTGTTGATTGTATTCAGTAATCATAGATTATTGAATACAGTGTTGTTGTTCAGTTGCCGAGTTGTGTCCCACTCTTTGCAACCCCAAGGACTACACAGGCCTCCATGTCCCTCACCATCTCCCGAAGTTTGCCCGAGTTCATGTCCATTGCATCGGTGATGCCATCCAGCCGTCTCATCCTCTGATGCCCTCTTCTTCTGCCCTCAGTCTTTCCCAGCATCAGGGACTTTCCCAATGACTCGGCTGTTCCATCAGGTGAAAGACCCTGATGCTGGGAAAGATTGAAGGCAGGAGGATTAGGGGACCACAGAGGATGAGATGGTTGGATGGCATCACTGACTCAATGGACTTGAGTTTGGGTAAACTCTGGGAGTTGGTGATGGACAGGGAGGCCTGGCGTGCTGTAGTCCATGGGGTCGCAAAAAGTTGGACACGACTGAGCAACTGAACTGAACTGACCAAAATACTGGAGCAGATACTAGACTGGAGTAAATACTAGAACAGTAAATATTAGTTTCCTCGGGCAACTTACTTAGCTTTACTCCCTGGTAAAGTAAAAATTGGGGTGCTTAAGTGAGGTAAGAGTATGACATTACTTTGCAAACTGAATAGCATAATATAATGAACATTTTGTGGCTTGTATGTATTCTAAGTTGCTTGTTGTTGTAGAACTGAATTTTTGATGTTAGTAAAGATTATTATCTTCAATGTTTGGCCTTAGTTTTGCCGTTCATAAAATGAGAAGGTTCTGGGAAAATACTCTCATTACTATTTAAACTAGTGCAAGCTGTGCAGTCAGATTGATAACTACTGATCAGAGTTGTGGCTGGATGATCTTGGTTATTCCCATTTCTCTTACATAAGTTTTTCTTTCACAAAATCCCTTTCCATTTTGTAAGTTAATGAAAAAATTTTGATGGATTTAATGAACCTTTTTCTCAGACATTTAAAGACACATGTATAAAGTTTCTGTAGTTTTGTGGTGTTTCTGATTGAGATTTTTATGGCCCTTCTTCACAACAGATGTTTTATGCAGTTAAATTCAACAGGTATTTATTGAGCATTTCCTCTGTGTCAGACTTTGCACAAGGAGTTAGTGAATAAGAAAAGGTCTTTGACCTTCTGAAGTGTACAGTCTATAATATGTATGCACATTAGTATCACTGTATTAGTTATATATAATTATACTAGTTTAATATAATTAACATAATAATTACAAAAGAGACACAATGGACATGAGTTTGCATAAACTCCAGGAGTTGGTGATGGACAGGAAGGCCTGGCGTGCTGCAGTCCATGGAGTCAGACACGACTGAGTGACTGAACTGAACTGTTAGGGTTCTGTTTAGTTATACTGCAGACGGGTTTAACTTACCCTAGGGATCACAGAAGGCCTCCCAAAGTAACAATTAAGCTGAGACTCGAAGACCAAATTCAGAAAATATATTCTTTAACTACTTTTCTGACTATTGTTAACATTTGGGGAAAGTAAGATTTTCTGGTACTTGTGTGAAATTGTTGTTCAGTTAGTTGCCACCTTTTACATAGTTATTGAATTGTTCCAATTCATACTTCAATGCTTCTAATTATAGATATACTTTAAGTATAAACAAAATAGGATTTATCATTTTAGGGTGTTAATAAAACAGAGATTGTGCTTAATCAGCATTATTGGGAAGATTTGAATTTAGGGCATTCCAAAACTAGTTACTGTCCATTGCAATAAAAAAAAAAATCTATTTGTTATATGATCAGTTGAGTATATTTGTGTGGGTCTAATTCTAGACTCTCTATTCTGTTCCATTGATCTGTGTGTCTATTCTTTAGACAACTGCTGTGTCTCGAATACTGTGCCAAGTTGCTCAGTCGTGTCTAACTCTTTGCAACCCGATGTAGTATAGCCCACCAGGTTCCTCAGTCCTTGGGATTTTTCATGCAAGAATGCTGGAGTCGGTTGCCATTTCTTTCTCCAGGGGGTCTTCCGAACCCAGGGATTGAACCTCCATCTCCTGTGTCTCCCGCATCGCAGGCAGATTCTTGACCTGCTGAGCCATCAGGGAAGCCCGAATACTGCAGCTTTATGTCGAGTCTTGAAATTGGGTAATAGGGCGTCTTCCGGCTTTGTTTCTCTCCACTTTTATCTTAGCTATGCCAGGGCATTTGCCTTTCCATATGAACTTTTAGATCAGCTTGTTGATATCTACAAAATAGACTGGTGATTTGATTGAGATTGCATTGAATCTACAAATGAAGTTGGAAAGAACTGATATCTTAATGTTTAGTCTTCTGATACATGAACATGGACTAACTCTCCATTTATATATATATATTTTTTTCTTTCATTAGTGTTTTGTAGGTTTCTACTGGTAGATCCTATACATATTGTTAGATTTATACCCAAGTGTTTTATTGTTTTCTCTGGTGCTCTACTAAATGTTTTTAAACTTTCTGATAAAAAATAAATAAATAAAATAAAATTTCTGACCGCTTATTACTGGTGTATTTGAAAGCGGTTAACTTTTGTGTATTAACCTTATATCCTATGACCCCTCTGTATTTGCTTGTTAGTTCTTGGAGTTCTTGGTGATTTTTTTTGGATATACATCCCAAAGAATCAACAGAAAATATCACTTTGTTTCATCCCAAATTTGTGTACCTTTTATTTCCTTTTCTTATTGTACTAGCTAGGACTTCATTACACATTGAATAGGAGTACACAGAAATTATATCCTTGCCTTGTTCCTGATATTAGAGGGGAAGGCTTTTAATTTCTTGCCCTTGGTTATATTGTTACCTATAGTTTGGGGTGGAGGAAGCTGCAGTTTTTTAAAAATTAACTTGAGGGATTTTCCTTTTATTCAGGTTTATAATTCAGTTTAGTCACTCAGTTGTATCCAACTCTTTGTGACCCCATGGACTGCAGTATGCCAGGCTTCCCTATCTATCACCAACTCCTGGAGTTTACTCAAACTCATGTCCATTGAGTTGGTGATGCCATCCAACCATCTCATCCTCTGTCATCCCCTTCTCCTCCAGCCTTCAGTCTTTTCCATCATCAGGGTCTTTTCA